ACTTGTCATGTCAGTCGTAACGTACCATCTCAAAACTGTCCGTCAGAAATAACGTCCCGTTTTTGACTTGTCATGTCAGTCGTAACGTACCATCTCAAAACTGTCCGTCAGAAATAACGTCCCGTTTTTGACTTGTCATGTCAGTCGTAACGTACCATCTCAAAACTGTCCGTCAGAAATAACGTCCCGTTTTTGACTTGTCATGTCAGTCGTAACGTACCATCTCAAAACTGTCCGTCAGAAATAACGTCCCGTTTTTGACTTGTCATGTCAGTCGTAACGTACCATCTCAAAACTGTCCGTCAGAAATAACGTCCCGTTTTTGACTTGTCATGTCAGTCGTAACATACCATGCCAATACTGTCCGTCATAATGTCACGTCCGTTGCTTTCGCCGACTAAACCATTCTAAATTTAATAGAATAAGCAAGAAGTTTTTGGAACATAAACACAAGTTTTTGGCCATACATTTGTAACGAGTACATACAAACATATCGTCGATTTTCGGTTACAACAAAATGTTAAGGCACCTTCTAAGATGTCCGTCATGATAACGTCCGTTGTCTAAACTTTTCCGTCATCCCGTAACATCCGTTTGCACAATTCCGTCCTTTTTCAACTATTTTAACAGTCGTGTTGTCTCACGACAATCAAAATGTGCCTCTGAACAACGATCAAATTGTCGGGTAGAACTGATATAAATATGTCGAATCTCCTTTTCATTCATACATTTAATGTAATCGGAGAAATAGCCATATGGTCGCTAGTAACTGTGATGCCCGTTACACAATTATCAGCGACATACGCCCGTGATATTTCCAACTTACCATGACGGACAAATCGCCCTGACCTGAGGTCGCCATCCTTGTTATTCTCTGTGCGCAGGGAGGCATGACATCATCAGCATAATGTGCTCCCACGTGATTCCGAGTTAAAAATAGCATCGTGATGCATGAAACCACAGAGAAATATCGATTTTTAGAACTGCGGTACGGACGTTACCGGCTGACGGAATTTTCGTTGCTAATGTTTCTCTTTTTGTTTTAATATGATTTCATACTGCAAGTTCAAAGATACTGAATAACTGCTTTCACATTGCCTAATTATCAAAATAAAACGGATTGCTGCAGACAAATCTCAACCAGCATGCTAGCTTTCCTTCACACACGTTTGGCGGTTTGAATGACGGACAATAGTAACGTCCGTACATGTGTGTATAAACCACTAATTATAAACAACATTGCTAATTTTTACAGTTTATAACATAATAATTCTATTTTTTTATTAAGTTTGTGCACATTATTGATCTGATCATCTGTCTGCTTTTAAAAGCATCCAAATAAAGACCGGTCTGAAAACAGACACTACTCCACTGTTACTGACCTGCACTTAGAAATGTGATGACTTTGCAAACATAAATCCGTTTTTTAATTTTATTATCAAGTTGTTTAGTACAACGTTATGTTTTCTATTTCAACACTCATTTTTAATTAGATAGCAAGATAAAAATTAGGAGTGGGTACAAACAACAGTTTAAATACATAGATTTTACTGGTGCCCTAAAAAAAAATTCAAAATGGCCATATACTGAAGAGTGACTCATATAAGAGTCGCGAAAAGCAGTTGGGCCTGAAATGGGAATGTACGTCCCATCAATAGCTCCAATTAGCTTGGGAAACCCTGCTCGCTGGGAGAAGGACTCTGCAATTGATGTTACTCTTCTTGTTTGGGCCATGATATCATAGTAGGAAGAATTTTTCCCCCCGAAAGCAGCCGACAGAAGTTCCCCAAGTAGTAGTGAAGCGAACCTTTACTAACACCAAAGCGGTTAACCACACTTCTAAATAACTCAGGCCAACGTTCTTCTTTCCAGACTGATTGAGCGAACCACTGTGTGTGGTCCTAATAGTTCTAGAAGTGCCTGAAATTAAATTAAAAAAATAAAATAAATAATATTTCTCCTACTCACTATTTTTCGAGTCGAATCTATACCTTGCCCTTGGTGTAAATATGTATGCTATATAATGAAGGGTGACCAGTCCTATATTTACACAAGCATATACTCTAAATTTATGTTTAATTTCAAATAAGCTTCAAATCAACAATACAAGCTATTCTAATTGATTTACCGGCACAATAATGATATCAGACTAGCAAAGATTGTTAAGTCGGACATGTCATCTTGCACTATGAGTAAGACTAAGAGCATATGTTATAACTTCATCAATGCACACTATAGACTAGTCACTAGCATGGCATAGGCCTACTTGAAACTAGTTTTTAAGAAATTAAGTGTAGGAAGCTTAGTATAGATCCGAGCTGTATATAGTCTTATAGAGAATAGACTTATGGAGTACACCATAGGATCCCACTGACTAGCCCGACGAGGCTGTGCGACTGATTGTCCATACGTAACAATACGTAAGTGATTAGCTAGACCGTTTCTTGGAGCTACCCACTGAGCTGAAACGACGAGCGAGTCATTTGAAAATGCTCTTTGAACAACAGGTCGCTGTAGCTTGGTACGTTCTCTTCTAAATAGTTCTCAATTCGGACAGTACCAAGCACCGGAGGGTGCCTTACCGAAGGCGCAATTTCAATCATGGGCAATGGGTCCAAATAAGGCATATCAATTTCGTCTGCTAATTCATTTAACAGAACTAGTTCGAGGACGCGATTAAAATCTGCTGAGTAATCCGCTATCTTAGATAAAGCGAGCGCTCGGTGTCGTTTAAGAGGCGCTGCGTTTGTTCTGCTAGCGTTCGCTGCGAGCGTTCGCTCTGTTGAACACGCCTCTGTTGATGCATTGCATCGTCAAATTCTTGTACAATGGATGATGCGTCAGCTTTTCCCACGGACTCCACACTTACAAAAGTAGTAGTAGATGATCTTTCTTTTTATCGGTACATTTAAAACAGTGAACATGAGCTGGAAAGCTCTAACCTAATCTAACAAATGTATAAAAACAGAACAACATATCATTTCATTAAAAATATACAAGTTTAAGATACAGGTATGGGTATGATAAAATGTAAAGTAACGACATGGTACGGTTGCTTGGGCTGTGGGCAATGTATATGATCAATGAAAATGCAATGGGGTTAGCCGCTAGCTTTTCCGCCAGGTGGGGCAGCGGGCGTTAGAGGTGTTACAACGATTGCGCAACGAACGAGTCAGTAGTAAAGATACAGAAATCATAGCGATATAACCAAGTTAAAATGCCTTCGTACTGTTGTGTTCCTGGTTGTAAGTCGGCTAAAACTGGTCATAAGTTTCCAGCGAACCCGAATCTGAACTACAAATGGAGGGTTGCTGTGAGGAGAGTTGAGAAAACCACGAAAAATTTGTGGAAACCGATGAGGCATTCTAAAGTCCGCAGCGATCACTTCGGAGAGGACGACTATACTAGCACAGATTTAAGTAAGTGTAATGTCGAAAATAGCTTATAAACATTAGTTATTAGCTCATTTTGAGGTTTGCAGTAGTTTTCTTGCGTATTCCATGTAGTCTATAGATATAAAAACAACTGTTATCATTGACAGCATTTATCGCTACAGAGCAGTATAATTATAATAAGACAATATGCCAGTGGCAACGCTCAGCTGGTAATTGGTAAATAATCGAGGCCAGGTGTCTCTAGTCCGAGGTACCAGTACCTAGTACCAGGTACTTGGCCATAATCACCGGCATTCATTCTACATGTTTTATTATTGTTATATTGAGATTAGCTCTCGAGTGCTATAGCCCTTCGTTGCCACCACGCTATGAGCAATATTGAGAGATATGCCTATATATTTCAATTCAGGAAAATTTAACATGGTCATATCTTACTGGTTATACCTTTTTAATAATATATTTTCATTAACGTTTTCTTAAATATGTCTTATTTTTAGACGAAAGAAAGAGACTCAAGGTTGACGCTATTCCTTCTATTTTCCCCTTCAACGATCGTCAGCTTTCTTCATCTCCTCGTGAAGACCGGGCTAAACGCCGCCGTCTTACTGCTAACTCTACAGGAACAGTAGAGCTTCATGTGCCAGCTGCTGCTGAGGAAGTAGAGCTTGATTACTCCCCTCCCGAAGAGGATTCACCGAAGGTCGAGACATCTCAGGACTCGCAGACGACGGATTCAGCATCTCAGTGCTCACTTCTAAGTGTCTCAAATGCTCGAGAAAGCATTCAACTTTATGAACATGACAATTCTGCTGTACAATATTTCACTGGTTTTGATAGCTACATACATTTTAAATTATTCATCAGTGTACTTGGACCTGCCATTCACCATTTGAGCTTTAAATGTCATCTGATTTCTCCAGAAGACCAGTGCTTCATGACACTTATGAAGCTCAGGCAGTGTTTTGATGATGCGTATCTTTCGATAAGGTTTAAGGTGTCTCTGTCAACAGTGTCAGACATAATTAATACTTGGATAAATTTTTTTTTCCAACTGAGCGAAATCAACATGTGGCCAGATCGGGAAACTATTGACGCGTATATGCCAACTAATTTCAACAAACTGTTCCCAAACACAAGAGTTATTTTAGATGCAACCGAGACTCCTATTCACAAACCAAGTAGAGTTGATGACCAGAGTGTTACATTTTCTACATACAAAAACAAGAACACTTTAAAAACGATGATCGGCTGTAGCCCAAGAGGCCTTGTTACTTATGTCAGTGATAGCTATGGTGGTAGCAGCCAGTTGACCGTCAAATTATTGAGAGGTCGGAGGCTGTGTAGTGTGCCTATGTTTGACAGGGTGACAGCATCATGTCAGATAGAGGAATTATGGTTCAGGATATGTTTGCTAGTAAAGACGTGCATGTAAACACGCCGTCAATGCTCAAAGGAAAATCCCAACTTAATGCAGAGACAGTTGTTAGGGATAGACGTATCGCGTCTAAGAGGATTCATGTAGAGAGGGTCATTGGTCTAAGCAAGACATATAAAATATTAAAAAGAGACCTGCCCGCATCAGAAGATTTCTCTCGTGGAAGAATTGTAAAGGTGTGCTTTATGATTTCCAACTTTAGGCGAGTATATGTCAGCAGTAATGCTAGTGTTTGTAGTAAATGGCTGCGTTTTAGAAATAAAGATATTCATAATTTGTATTGCAACTTGAGTCTTTGTAGCTTTACTAATCTCAATAAACATATTACATAACTCCTGAGCACCAACAAAAGAATAAACACCACTTCACACATGCACCACTAATATGCACACGTGAATCTCAATAAACATATTACATAACTCCTCAGCACACACAAAAGAATAAACACCCACTTCACACATGCACCACTAATATCACGTTGAATGCTCATATAAACATATTACATAACTCCTCAGCACACACACAAAAGATAAACACCAACTTCACATAGTGCACCACCTAATATCACGTGAAATCTCAATACCAACATATCACATAACCCTGAGCACACACAAAAAGAAATAAACACCCACTTCACATATGCAGCCACTAATTATCAGGCGTGAATCTCGATTGTTGTCCATCACACACCTGCTAGATATAGGAAAATAAGTCCTTCTAAACATGATTTGTGACCGGTGATAGCAAAATTCAGTCACATTGACAGTAAATTTTAAAACGAGTTTTTATTTGGCCCCATATTAGCTGAACACTTTCAGTTTTCATTTGGAATAACAAGTTTTTTGATAAATTTGTCGGATTGAGTACGAAGTTATATGGCATTTTGAATATCATAAGGCGTTGAAAACTCAATTTAGAGAAAATCGCGTTTAAAAGATTAAACAACCTAGAATTAGAAAAGGTCCTGTAGACAACCATCAGTTTTATAAGCTGCCAAAACTGCCCCAGAATGTCTTATGGCGTCATTACACCGCCATATTTTTGCTTTTTAGCTTCAGAAAAAAAAAAAAATTTGTATGGCACAAACAAATAAGGTTTTTTTCGTGGTTAAAAATTTTTATTAAAAAAAATTTTGAAAACAAGTTTTTCATGTAAACACTCCACAATGAAACTATACAGCGTGCTACGATTAATGTATAATATCTGATTTTACAAAAATTCAGCTAAATCACTAGCGTTGAGCTCCTCCACAGATCCGTCGACCACGTCCACGAGTCCACCACGACCACGTTTCGTACTTAGATTACCCTGATCTAATTGAGTCTCCAGGACGCTTTGCTGTCTATGTGATTTGCGAGGCTACAAAGTCATATACTACAGCAGGATCAGTAACTATGAGCAGGAGCTGGACAGGTGCAGGACATGGTAATGTCGCGAGTCTCAATGGTAACAAAATTCTCTGATTTTGTCCAAACAAATAAAGTTTTCCTTTCGTATGATATCCTGCGTGGTGGTATTTTCCAGGCTTCGATGCCTTGGGCAAGTTGTTGACATCTCTTAGTAGTTGAAATATTTCTCAGCCGAATCTGCATTCCTTCCGGAGATACTTCACCTGGAATGTGCTGCATCAACCTGGAAAATGTTGAACTTTCTTAATCCCGCGCACGGTTCTGAAGTACAGCGACAAGAATTTATTGCAGTCATATGTATGGGAGAATAACATCACAGAAAGAAGTTCCACTTTCTGGCCAAACATTATTTGCTCCCCACTACGTGCTTACTGTTTACGACATCTACAAAATTATCCAACGATGAAACATTGTACGCTCTGTATTTTCTGTTTTAACAAAGCCCAAAAACACCAATGCGGGGCAACATTTCGCTTATGTCCCCGCCGCTACTAAAGAAGTTCAAGCTAATCGATCGATGTAGTCCATTAATTATGCGCCAACGCAAGTGTACCTACAAACATAAAGTTATTTTTATTTGTACCACTGCAGTTATTCAACAGTGCATCTAAAGCTTTTTCACCCGAAGCCGTAGTGGTCAAAAAAAATCTAGGTAGCTTTCAACAGCATTGCACCTTTCGATATTAGCACAGCTTTCATCAATGACAAATTCACCTGTTGTGGCACCGCTCAACAAGCAAATCACCAAAGATGCCATCATATTTCCTGCACTAGGAAATACTATGGCCCTGGCTGGTATGGGTCGTTAGGGTAAGTTGTACTTGCTTGCGCGTTATCGAAGCTGTAATGCCATCTTTATATCCCGAGACATTGGTTGCATTCTTCCCTAGTTTTGCATATCCTTGAATGTATTTAGAGGGCTTTCTTTACCATGTCTTCGTTATAGCGTCGCTCCAGCGTTACTTGACCAAGATCGGTCTGCGCTCAAGAGCTCGGCTGACCTTTTCCAGCCTCTGGTATGTTCATTGCTTCGGTATATCCTCGAATTATTTTTCTGGCATGTTCCAGCAAAAGATCCGTCATCGGTTTTGTCATACACAATTGTATGGTACAAGGGACCGCCACAAGTTTCCGAAAGGAATAACTTTCACCGCACAATACCCTTCTGCATTTCATTGCTGAACTGGAGAGCCGCCAAATACTTGCTTTGTTGTACATCGATGGAAGCAGTTTTATGTCAAGAACGCTTGAATCGCCGGCTACTCGCTCCAGGTATACTAACGAATGAACTTCAGAAAAATTTACGATGAAGCGTAACAACTTCATGTACATCTTTCAAACGTTAAAAATCTTGCGTTAGTTTTTGTTTTCCTCTCGGACTTTTTGTGGAGTGGGTGTCAATCCATCGCCTCCCTTGTAGGTGCTTCAGTAAAGCTAGTCATTTGTCCTGACTGATAGCAGTGCAGCGAACTGAATGTCTCTCGGCAGATACGGGTTCCTATCAACGCAAGTAAACATGTTCTTTGATGTTTTCGTTGTGTCTGCTCTTTCTTATTGATGATGCGTTGTTTCTTTCATTATTGATACGCAGAACTAAGTTTGACCTAAAACAGTATCAAGTTCTTTCATACGTGGCGGCTGGACATAGTTGTTCGCAGTTCATGCATAAATTCGTCGACAATGCGGTGCAACACGATTGCCGATTCATTCGAGACAGCAGCTATTTTTTGGAAGACTTTACAGACACATGTAAAATTGACAATTTTCTTCGGTTCACCTGCATAGGTCCCTCATGATTTACGATGCTTACATTTTCCATTTACGATTGCCGATTTCTTTAAAAACAATATCATCCCGGCATCCCTCGACATCACCATCATCAATACTGGCGGCTCGCGTCATCTAGACATGGCCCACTATATATACTTTAGGCCTAATTCATTTTGACGCAAACAATTTTAAAGTTCATTGTGGAATCTAAGCTCACATTCATCAACTACCCTCACACTTACTCCTCATCTGATTCAGGACTAGTGCCAGTAGGGCGACAAAAATAATCTTCAACAAGTTGTCTTGCCACTGTTGAGCGTGTGGCTCCAAAATTCAAGATTACTATGAAGCGCACAATGTTCAGAGAACTCGCCACATCAAGTTTTTGGATAACTCCATAATATAATCCAATAAACAACGTAAGAACAAGACTTATATATACACATGAAACTAAGCGCGTATCAATTTGTAATATCCTTTGTTTACGATCGCTTTCGAACCATGAGCGTGACTTCAGCCAATCACGGAAGCGCTTTTACTAAAATGACGTGACGACGTATAAGCAACAAAGGAACTATGTTTACAGTCTTTAGAAGCATTTAATTGTCAAAGACGCGTCATACACCTAAACCTGTATTAATACGCAGGCTCCGCCTCAAAGCTGATCTAAATGTAGATGTGAAAATCAGGAAATCGGCGGAGAAATTGGTGATCATTGCGCGAATAGAAAAAAGGGCTTTGTTTCAACTTTTTCGGCTTTAATTTAACATTAATATTCTATTTAAATCACAAATTTAAATGCTTTTAATCTGATTTTGATGCGAATGACCACACTAGGTGTTTAGGAAAACATTCTAAAGTAATAATAATAATGTGTAGCATTAGAAATAGGATATTTTTGTGTTAAGCCCTTCAAGTGGGCCTATTACGCAAAATGAACTTGTGCGACTTCACTGATTTTGCTCACCGGCACATTTATCGAACTGCGGCACGACGGTCAGGTGTTCTGTTCTCAATTTGCTATAAAAACCACATCAGGCCGATGGACGGATTGTTGGTTCGGGCAGAGAATGCTGACAGTCCAAAATTTTGTGTTCCTGTCATGCATCCAGATCTGTGAAAATAGATAATTCAGCTTGAATCTCAAATTGCCACAGAGCTACTTTTAAACAAGCTTGATACATCGAAGCAGGGTCTTAAACGTCCGTTTTTTAACACATTACTCAAATCTGACCGATAATGCGAAGGAAATTATTAACCTACAGATAAAATACAGTAGGAAAATGCGTTCCAATATATACCGTATAAGCCTACAGGTTTACAAGCCGCTTCAAAGCGTTTATCTGCCGAAGATTTCACACGCCGTTTATGACAAAATTGGCATTATCACTCATGAAAACAACGTATTTCGTGGAACATAGTTTTATCTTTGTATTAAATTCCTTTACGACCTCTTGTCGACGTCCTCTTTCATAAAGTTTTACTTTAGAGAGTGTACGGTCTGTTTCTCATAACTCGCCATTACTTTAGCCCGGGGTGTGCAAACCGGGTAGGCGGATCTCTTCACCTCTGCATATGTGCTGCCCTCCAGCGGCAACTGTTTCTAGCGGCTAACCCCATTGCAACTACATTTCATGTTGCTGTTGAATAATAATTGCACTTACCTGAAACCTACACATTCCACAATGCACTTTCTTGCCATTCCATGTATTTATATCATTTTGTTAAAAGAAATTAAACATCAGTAGCAATGATTCCAGAGATAGCACCATGGTAACGTAGACTTTTTTTCCTGTTCATGTTCTGTGGGCGGCAGTT